ATCCACCAACTCGAGCAAAGCCGAACTTAAAACAAGGCTACTAAAAGTTTACCAGAAGCAAGGCTTTACAAAAACTCATGACCAACCAAAAACCCTCTGGATGTTCAGAGCCCCTCTGGTTCATCAACCGAAAGTTCAAGATAAAGACACTTAGAAACATGGCTATCTCGAAGCAAAATTAACACAATGCATGGTCAACCAGAGGCCCTCTGGACGGCCAAAGCCTCTGGTTCGCCTAACTAGAACTTCTGAAAACAAAAAATGTGATACTTTGAAAGAAAATGAATTTTGGATACAACCAGAGCCTTCTGTTTAACCATGAAAATCAACCAGAGCCCTTCTGGTCCTATACCGAAGGTTTGAACATTTTCCCAAGGACTTAACGAACAAAATAGAAGTAAACCATCTAGAGGCCAAGTCAACTAGAGGCCCTCTGTACGACCAGAGCCCTTCTGGTTGAACTATACTCTTGGCTCTAAGTGCCAATATAAAAACTAAGTTTGAAAATGGTTTTTAATCCAAAAGCATTTAGTTATAAAACGGCTTGGAACTAAGAGCCTAGATACATGTTCAAACACAACTTGTATACATAGCTCGGTCACAGATCTCAGACACATATCTCAACTTCCAAACATAAAGCCTCTAAATAGCACATGCAAAGCCTCTGGATTCAAGATATGTTAAAATATTTGAAAACGATCTTAGAGCCCAATTAAAACCTGAGGCCCTCTAGTTGAACATGAAAACCAACCATAGCCCCTTTGGTTCCTCATCAAACCACTCATTTTATCAAAATAACTTGAAGTAAAGCCATCCAAAACCAGATCAACCCAGAAACATGGTTAATTCAAAAGCATGACCACTCAAAGCCTCTATGGTTATAAAAAAATTTCCTCCTCGTCATAATAACATCTTTATCTCATCATTTGGAAATGACAACCTAAGTTCTCGCATCACACAGATGCGATAATTCAAGATCATCGCATCACACAGATGCGATAATTCAAGATCATTGCATCACAAGGATGTGACAATGAAGCATATGATCAAAACCCATATTTTACAATTGTCACCCTTATCATACACCTCTACTTGATATGCCACCCTTATCCCAATATACACATCTCCTTGATATGCCACCCTTATCTCAATATACACATATCTTTGATATGCCACCCTTATCTCAATATACACCTCTCCTTGATATGCCACCCTTATTTCCACATAAGATATAATCATAATAAAATCCATCATTTTTGCCAATAATGACATCAAAACAGTTCCATAACAGAAACTCATATAAAGAACCTTACGGTTCTATACCCAGATTTATCATCAAGCTCAAACAGCTTCAAGAAACAGTTTTATCACATTTCCATATAAGAACCATACGGCTCAATATTTCAAATACCAAATAAAGATAGTTTATAAAATAAAACTCACCTTGTTTTCACGTATACGAAGATAAATTCACACAACAACAACTTCCAAAAATAAACACAAAATCAACTTCTTCTTACAAATTCACGTAGGATTTCACACAAGAGAACACACAGTGAATATTTTCTTTCTTTCTCTCCCAAAATATTGAGATAAGATAAGATCTTATCTATTATTTTTATCACTATTTAACTCACAAGCGGTGGAAGGTTTAATATTTTTAAAATCATACATTAACATTCTCCCATGAGATATAACAAATATCTCATGCATGAAGCCTTAAGGCGGTGTGATTATTTTAAACATTTAAGCACATAGACAAGTTAAATCCCTCCACTTACCAATACCTTTCAAACATCATCCCTGAACGTTTATAACTAAAAATCCGGTTCTCTCTCTCTCTCTCTCTCTCTCTCACTCTCTCTCTCTCTCACACACACACACACATATATATATATATATAGGTGGAGGTTCAAACGAGAACATCTTCATTTTACGAGAACATCCTAATCACATGTGATAATACACTTGAAGGGACTTGGTGGTGTATGGATGTCGTGCCTTGCGACTTAGGTTACACCAAAGATCGTCTGCGTCTATGATTTAGTATCACATGTGATGGTCTTGATGGATTATAGTATCACATTAATAACACATTTATCATATGTGATAGTACATGTGAGGGGGTTTAGTGGTGTAAGGACGACTTGGCCTACAACCTAGATCGCGTCAAAAGTCGTCTACGTCTCTGATTTAGTATCACATGTATATTATATCTATTGAAATAATAGTATCACATGTGATTGTTTATGGTAAAAATGTGTTCTCGCGTTCTCGTAAAATAAAGGTGTTCTCGTTTGAATCATTCCCTATATATATATATATGTGTGTGTGTGTGTGTGTGTGCACAATCATTTGTTAAACAAGTAAATAGTATTAACTTTATTAACCGATATAAGCCTTTCATTTCTTTAATCAAACTGTTGTGATTAATGAGAAGTTATAATCTATAAAAAAAAACATTAAATTATATTAAATGAAAGTCATTTTTGGGACAAATTGTTTTTATTTTTGGAAAAAAAAATCATATTTTATATGTGTGAAAGATAATCAATAATATTATTTAATAATTTTTCATTTTTGGAAGATATTCACATATATTTTTGGAAAATAATCAATAATAATATTTAAATCATTCTTGTTTAAAGATAAAATCAGAAAGTTCATAGGCGAAATTAAAAAGTGAAACAATGATTTTTGTTCATATGTGAAACCAGATAATCAAAGTTCATAGGTGAACCAAAAAGTCAAACAATGATTTTTATCTAAAGTTCGTAAGTGAACCAGATAATCAAACTTCATAGGTGAACCAAAAAAGTGAAACACTAATTTTTATCTAAAGTTCATAGGTGAAACCAGAAAGTGAGTCAGTTCATATGTGAAATTAAAAATTTGGTAGGTGAAACAATCAAGTGAATGAGATAATTAAGGAATGTAATAATCAAGTGAATAAGATAATTAAAGAATGTTATAATCAAGTGAATAAGATAATTAAAGAATGTTATAATTAAGTGAATGAAATAATTAAAGAATGCAATAATTAAGTAAATGAAATATTTAAGAAATGTAATAGCAATATATAAAAAAGACAAAAATTATCAGGTTAACGAAGTTAATACTAATTGTTTGAACAAAAGAATGGAACCCCCCCTCTCTCTCTCTCACTCTCTCTCTCTCTCTCTCTCTATATATATATATCTTTTTATAATTTTCAAAAATCCTAATTCTTTTTACTATTATATTTTATATTTTTTTCTTGATTTATCTACCATAAGTGTCATTTAAAAAAATTGATTTCATTTTGTTAATGTAATCACGATTCACGAATTTATTTTAAAAGAAATTTTAGTTTAATTCTTGAAAATAACCGGCCAGGAATGGGTCGAACATTGACGAGGGATAGGCCCAACAAAAATCAGGGAGGGGATTTGATTCCCCGAACCCGCTGGCCGAGTGAGGTACATGAATTGGGCCCGGGGATTGCATTCCCCGCCCTATTGGCATCTTATCGTCCAACAGATGGGCCAATCCTATTGAAGTCGTTATAGATGGTTAGAGAAAAATGAAAGAGATAACTTCGATTACTTTATAATCATAATATTTTAATTTCTTTTATACTTATATTTTAATATCTTTTATACTTATATTTCATAATAATATCTTTATTCACCATTAGTGATGGCCAAATGGGACCGGCCCGGCCCGTAACCGCCGGAGGACTGGAACCGGGACCGGTGAGGGATCGACCGGAATCGGGACTGGTTGGGGACCGCCGGTTATGATCCGGTTACAAGATTTGTCGTTTTTAGGCCCCAGACCGACCGAAACCGGGACCGGTTATGGGCCCCGGCCCGGTCAACGAAAGTCAAAATAGCCGTTTGAATTGGTCAACTAGCCGTTGGATGGTCAATATAGTCGTTGGGGGTCGATTTTTGACCTTTTTTCATCTTTTTTCCTACCAAATTAGTATAAATATGCATGGGAGTTTTCTATTTAACATATTAACTCATCTCATCATAAAAAAGCAAAAAAACGCTCTCAATTCTCGAGTTTTCGCTCAATTTTGTGAATTCGCTACGTATTAATTTCTCGTTTCCACTTCACAATTATCGTTTCTTTTTCTCTTTTACTTACGAAATGACCGGTATTTTTAAAGTGTATTTGAGTGACCTGTATTTTTAAAGTGTATTTTTAAACGTGTATATATATATATATATATATATATATAACAAAACCTATATATAACAAAACATATTTTTAAACATATTAAAAATAACATATTACAAACATATTAATAATATATTAAAAATTTATTAATAACAAAAAATTTGAAAAAAAATAAAAAAAAATATGAATGGGACCGGCCGGGACCGGGAATGTCTAATCGGTTACCGGTAAGCTTGACTCGTTACAAGGAAATTCACCGGAACCGGGACCGGTTACTATCGGTTGTGGCGTCCGTAGGTTTTGGCCATCATTAGTCACCATACAACACTCATTCTTGTGATTCACTCTCAACAAATGCGATAGCAAATCCTAATCTTAGTTGAAAATTAAAAGTTTAAAATGTATTTAAGTTAACAGACATTTTTAACAATCATAATGACAAAAAATATAAGTTTTTTTTATAAAAAATAAATACACTTAAAGTGAAAGATAACCAACCAAAAGTGCAAACCTTTCTCTAATTCAAATCATCTGGACATGGTTCATCAAAAATTGCTTGCCAGAATCAGAAAGAAAGAAAGAAAGAAAGAAAGAAAGAAATTAGAGAGACGGAGTCAGAGCCTACGCAAAGTTGCTTTCTTTTTTATTTTTCCATCAAATTAATAAATAAATAAAACTTTCTGGAAACGTTTTGTACCTCTAAAACCTCAAGTGGGTCATCATCTTTGCTCCCACTTGTTACTCTCTGCTGTCTCTGCCATACCCTTTTGCTATACTTTCCATCTTCATTGGTTGATCCCCCTTTTCTTTTGCTCTCTGAAATCCAAATTTTTGCGTTTCATTCATGAAAATTGAATATTGAGTTCATGGATCAGCTAAGTGAATAGAAAAGGCTAAACACCATATTGTTTTTCTGTTCTCATTTTCCTCTATTTGTATATTATATATATTCTTTCTATTGTCTTCAAGATCGTTGGCTCTTATGTGAACGAACGTGTAAAAATTGGCCATTTAAAGCATCTGGGCATTGCTATTCTGACTTAATTATTGCTCAGAAAAAGCTTACTGGGGTTGTTCTTGGATTTCATCGGCGGTAGTCCTGTGATTCTTGATGCTGACCTAACAGGAGGTTCTTTATGGGTCTTTTTTAACTTCGTCAACATAATTCATGCTTGGTTTAAGAAAATGGAGACGTTTATGGCGTTATGTGGTATTGTTCATCTTCTTCTTTAGCATTGACTTTCTCAGTTATTTATTTAAAGTACAAACAGTATGAAGAATCTTTTAAAGAAGTTACACATCATGCCTAATCAAACTTCGGATATGGACTCAGAAGGGTCTACTTCTTCTTCTTCAAAGGGTAATCAAAAGTTGATTGATGTTTCACCATCAATTGAGAGCCTTCCCCAATCTCAATCCCATGAACACCATAAGCCCTTATCTGGTATTTCTGGATGGCTTAATTCAGTTACTAATAGGCAAAGTCCTAGTCCTAGCCCTCCATCCTCTTCAAATGTGAAGATACCAGATAAGAATGAAGAGTTTGATTCAATGAGTAGTGATGCACTGGATGCCGCAATGGAAGCCGTTAGAGCCGGAGATTCAGGGTCTGGAATGTCGAGGGATCCGGAGGTGGAGGAAGAGTACCAAATACAGTTGGCTTTAGAGTTAAGTGCAAGGGAGGATCCTGAAGCTGTGCAGATTGAAGCTGTTAAGCAGATCAGTTTGGGCACCTGTCCTCCAGAGAATACTCCCGCTGAAGTCCTTGCATACCGATATTGGGTAAGTTCAGTTCCCATCTCATTTGCTGTTACTTTTTATAATCAATACAATTGTGCAAATATGCTTCTAGTTTGGGTTGAAAGGCTTGTTGTTCTTGTTAATTTCTTCTAAGGGGCTTGTTTGATAGATGCTAAATGATTTGGTGCACAATGATGAAGTGGTAAGAATAATTAAGAGGGTCTATATGATTTAGTGCCAAATGATTAAGCTAGCTTGTTATCAAACACTTTCAATTGGTATTATTTGGTATTGCTTAATCCAGTTTAGAGATTAAGTTGTCCTAATAAAGAGCTAATTTCTTTGTATGTTAATCCTGCCATTATCTGAATAGTGATGTGTTGAAGATAGAGAGAACTACTGACACGCTCACACACACACACTCACTCACACTTGCACATGGTGCACCTCTATATAGCTCTCCAGGTGTGATAATATACCATCAGCAGTGGCTTAACTAGTAATATCTTTTGACAAGAGGTTATGTTTTTGTTGATCAAGAATTTTAACAAATATCCAGTTTTCTTTGTCCTCAATAATGTACCTTGATATGACCCTCGATGTGCAAGTGGGGTCACATTTAAATTGGAATTATAGTATGCTGTTATTTCTTCTACTTACCAGATCAAGCTTTTAGATTAACCGGTGGTTTTGACCTAATTCACACCCCTATCTGTTACATACTTACACGCTTGCTTGCTTTCGCTATTTTGGTTTCAGCTTTTGCTAGGCTCTGCAAGTTCTGTCTGGTCATTAGAGTCAAATAGCTCTCCCATATTCCACCTCTATCAGTGGTCCAAATTCTTGTGTGGTAGGTGGGTTAAGTGTGAGCCTTTTTATGTCAGTGAGGATACAAGGTGAAGAGGTTTCCATCAGGCACCAATTTAAGGCAGCGTGGTTTACATGTGTCTTTGTGACTGTTACCTATGATGAATTTCCTTTGTTAGTTAATCGAGGGGAGTGGGGGTCTTCCGAGTATCTATCTATCTTTTCTGCAAATTTCATTTATTAGATGGGAGCAAAATATATAATGCAGTAGAAATATGTTTTTTGGCAGATTTGAAAGGCATTACTATCAAGTTAAGCTTTTGCCTGGTCTGATAAAAAGAAAAAAATATGTAGAAAAAGAGAGATTGGAAGCTTCGGTTTAAGATTCCAACCATGTATGACCTTTGCTATAATCCATGACCTTGAGGGCTCTTCTCTGCTTGTGTAATATGTTAGGACCACACATGGATCTCAACCTATGCTTTTTTAAGATCTATAGGGTTAACTTTTCAATAAGGAGTGGTTTTGGTTAGCTAGCTCTATAATTAGGAAATAGGAGATGTTGATTATTGTAGAGATTCTAAGTTAAATAAGCATCTTTTGGAGACGCCTTCGCCCTCTAGAAAGTTGACCAATCTTTTATTTCATTATTGATTTATTTATTTATGAACTTGTTTGGTTCATACACATTGCCATTGTTATAAGAGCATCTCATTCTAGATCACGGGCAGCAAAGGAAGTTGACATGTTCAAATAAAAGTCAACGCGGGAATTACGGGGTGAGATCCACAATGTTTGCTCGGTTTGTTATAATAGATGAATGATTAGCTTCACTTGAAGAATTGCTACGTAATTTTTTTGAGACCCAAATCCAATAGGCTGCAGTGGTAGGCAAAAGTGGATCTCATGAGGGGAACATTGTTCTTTAGTATTCGAATGGACAAGGTGGAGCAGAGCAAGGGATATGGAACAGTGATAAGGAAAAAGTAGTGGTAATATGAATGGTGATGGCTCGCAAGTGGATTTTATGTGGGGCGATGGCAATTGCAGGAGGCATGGCTCTCCAAGGGAGACGAAGAGGCATTTGACTGAGGTGATGGTGTCAACTAGTATCATAGTGGTGAAAGGGCGATGAAACATGGCAAGGATTGCCATATAGTGACAATGATTGTTGTATAGCAACGATGGCACACAAGATCCCTTGTATCAAAAGGGAGCAGAGGAGAGGGGAGTTACAAGCAAATGTGTCCGAAGAAAGATTTGAAAAGGGGATAACGTATATCCCCACAGACGGGATACTCGCTAAAAAGGGAGGGTGGACTTGACAAGAGGCCTCAACTTACTAGTCCTCCATTTGGGCCTAAAATGGGGCTTTACCGAGTCCAAGTTTCGCTTGACGTGGGATCCTATTTTGGCTAACGAGGACGAGTTTGAAGGGCTCTAAACCTAGGTCACTCATTATGGAAGTTGTGTGCAATTTTGAAGTTCATAACGGGAAGTTATTGTGCCTAACTCTTATCTTGTTGATCGTGTGTGAACTACTCTTAATATGATAGGTAGACCACAATTCTTGGGTAAACATGTTCAAAGATTATAGCTTATTGTTTTCCCCTTTCCCCCTTGTTAAAATATCGTCTGTATTTCCCATATAATTTATTGTAACAACCCAAAAAATTTGGGTAAAAGCCACCAAGGTAAAACCTTTGGTAAATACCAAAAACAACATAAATTTCTTCCAAAAAGATATCTTTTTATTCTTACAAGACAAAACGAGTTTAAAAGTGAACAAGCTTAATTCCAATTCCTTATAAGGGCTAAAGTTAGAACCGGATGTTACTAAAAATGCAATCACAAGTCGCTATCTCCAAACAAAACGGAAATGTTCCAAAAAGCAAAGTCTTTCACGTGCCTTTATCTAGCACTCAACTGCCCTCATGTGTCGACAAGAAAAAGTGTTAGGATTAAAGCCTAGTGCATTCAAGCAATTTATAACATAAGTAAGAAAACGGTAAAACTGAAAGAATCTTCTAATAAAACAATTTTCCCTACTAGAAATATGCTTTCAATGTAAAACAACACCTCTAAATATACCATATCCACAATAATTCAAAATATTCTTACATCTTTCAATGATGGGGAGACTCGTTTCATTGATTGTGGAGGAACACAAAAGTAGGCCACTTGTCACTTATACCGAGTTTCACTACGGACCAATGGTTATCCATATTCGACTCAATGAGAAATTCTGGCTCAAGACCCCAAATGATCATAGGTGCTTACCTGTTCACTACAAGATTCAATGACCGATGTATGACTCTCATGAATCTGCACCACATGCCCTCGATGACTCGATATTTATCTCTAGCTACAGTTAGATGAGATACTCCCGAGTCAATGGCCGATGTATGACTCTACATGAGTCTGCACCACATATCCTTGGTGCCTACTCCCTAGTTACAAAGTGAGAACATTAAAACATCTCACTTATCAACAAAACTGACTCTTATGCCCATGGATCCATCGCATTACAATCGAAATTAAATGAGACACAATTTAAATGATTAACACACTCAGAAACATGTAATCTCAATTAATTATGCAACATATGCAATTTTAATGTTCAAATATCAACATTGAACATTTAAAGTTGGACAAATTCCCAAAACTTTGAACAAAATTCAAATCAATAAAATCCAAAATGTATTGGACTAACTCGATAAAAAGTCAAAATAAGCCAACATTATGCATTTTCAAAGGTTTATAGAAATGCATGCACTAAATGTCTATATAGACAAGGAGCTATCATTTAGTGCGAAACCACCAGTAACATTTGCTTATGGTATAAAACCATTAATACAAATGCATGATTTGTCACTTGAGAAATCGAGTATTCAAGAAATATGCATTTCCCCCAAATGTTATGCAATCATGTATCAAAGTATGAGTATGCCAAGTGGACCATCATTTGTTGTAATGAATTATCAAAAGGTCACAACTCATGTGATTGCACTTTAAAATGTCCAATACCACAATAATATGCATTTACCCAAAGTTTTATGAAATCAAATACACCAAAGGTGCAATAATGTCAAATCATCACCATTAATGCAAGAGATCATAAACAACTTTGAAACTCACTTGCGAGGTTAAGTTAAACCTAAATTCCCAACATTCTTTTTGCTTCCGTTGGTGAAGAACTTGAAGTATCCAACTGAATCCCCCAAGAAACTCTTGATTCCAACCAAGCTTGAGAAATTTTGAGACCTTCAACCATAGATCTTCAAATCTCCAAGATAAGTTCTCCATTTTCCTTAAAAAACTTCCAAAAGTCGATCCAGAGGTTGCCAAAATTGCCTCAACTGGGAGAGAAATGAAGAAGGTGAAGTGTCATGGCAAACCCTATCTAAAATATGGGGTTTTGACCCGTCTGGTGCTCTAGGAGATTTGGGAGGCGACTTAGGTCGCGTTGAAAATCGCCCAAACACAAAATTCACCCAAACAAAGCCTTAGGCGACACCCTGTTTTGTGTTTTCAAGGAGTTTTGCAACTTCTCTTGCGTCCAAACTTGTAGGGGTTGTAGTATGTTCCAAGGGTTGGGTTGTTCGCCCATTATAGTGGTACGTGAGCTAGGTTCAGAACGTCGTGAGATAGTTCGGTCACACCTTCATAACTCCGAATACCCGGATTCGTTAGTGTACCCCCTCCCCGACTGCCCCATCAAAATCAATATCACTAAAAGAAAATGGGTATAAAAACTTATTAGATACCGCCGTTAATGGTTGGGAGGTCCCCTAACCTCCGCAAGGCTTTCGACACAACCTTTCTTCACCACAACTCGACCACCCCTCTTGATTTAAATGCTACATGCATTTAAACATGGCTTAACATCTGCCTCGTTAAAACAAATCTACACCATTAAATGAATAACCCTACAGGTGTTACATTAATGACCACGAGAAAGTTGCAGGATAGCTTCTTCATAAATGTTGTTCCATGTTAAATTCCCTTTGGATTCTCAATCTGATTTATGATCTTGAAGAATGTTAGAGGAGCTTCTTCATAAATGTGCACAAAGTGAGCACCATTTGCTTTAGACAAGGTCTTATCAAGGTTTTAAAGTACAAAAATGTGAGGTGAGATGTTTTCCTCGGCGCCTCGAGGAATAAAAAAAAATAATTTTTTTGGTTTCGAGGGATACAATAATGCCATTGACCAAATTCCATTCTAATGTTTGGTTACCCATGGAATGGAATTTAATTCCAAACATTTCCTCATTTAAGGATTTCACCATTCCTTCATAAAAGAGATGGAATTGAAATCCATTCCATCAAAAGTGTTATAAATGACAAAAATATCCTCATTCCACCTTTTCCATTCTCATCTATTGCTTCCAATCTATCGAATTGAACAACTGTTTCATCTTCTTCATCAATCAAAGACTGCAGGTACGATTTTTGCTTCGATTTCTGTCATCTCCAACGTACGATTTCTGTTTTCTGCTTCCATTTTGTTACTGTTTCCGATTTTTGCTTCGATTTCTGTTATGACTTCATATTTCGGCTTACAATTTTTGCTTCGATTTTTGCTTACAATTTTTGTTTCGATCTCTTCTTCCAATCTCTGCTTTTGATTTCTGCTTACAATTTATACTTCGATTTCTGCTTCGATTTTGTTACTGTTTCTATATCATATTACTGCTTACTAATTTGACATTTTTGTATATGATTTACTGCTTCAAAGAAAGGGTATTTTTGTCTTTTTTTTCATCATTCCATTCCAATTATGTTGCAAACCAAACAACCAGATTCCAATTCATTAGACATATTACATTCCATTCCTGCCAGCCAAATACTTGGTCAAACCTGATAACATTCCATTCCAATTCCTTTGACAGATTCCATTCCTTCATAAATCAATTTGCGAACGAAACACCCCTTATTTTGGCTAAGCGGCTTAGCGAAAATTGGCTCCTCATTTTTATAACCCCTTTTTGGTGGTGGAAGGGTCGGCCTAGTTGCCTACAAGCTGGAATTACCATCAATTGCGAAAATTACACACGATGTTTCATGTCTCACTTCTCAAAAAGGTTGTGGGATCATTCTCTGTTGCCTCCGACATTACCTCAACGTTGACATTTGACATTGAGATGTTGTAGAACCTTTTTCAGTACAAGGTGTACGTTCGGTCAATTGAAGTGCTAATTCGTTGGAAAGGTCTGTCTCTTTTTTAGGATACTTGGGAGCCTTTGATGACATTCAACTCAGTTTCCTATCTTCAACCTTGAGGACAAGGTTGCTCTTTGGGCAGAGGGTAGTGTTAGGCCCTCGGTGGTGGTGACATATGCAAGAAAGAAGAAGTTGTTGACACGTCAGCACGAAGTGGGGGAAAACCGTTAGAGAATAGTAGCTCTCTTGTGGTCCAGAGGCGGAGATTGTTAAGAGAGGTAAAGTAAATAAAAAGGTGGAGGAGTGAAGTTTATTCTGACTCGGAGAGACTGGCAGACTCTCAAATTTGCTGCCTGAGTTTTGTAGCTCGTCATCTTCGTATATGATATTCCAATATGTAACCCACTATCTCATCTGATTTCTCTGTATTTCCTTTATCGATTACTGGAATTGCTATTGAGTTTATCAAGGGCCACATCCAATGTCATAAAGGTGATACTTGTTATAAGTCTTAAAAACATAAATTTATTATCCTAAGTCATAAATTTTAGATTATGATCGAATCGCATACTTCTACGATCATATTCGTAACCACTATCATCTTTGTCTTTCGAATCTTACTGAATACTTTCCTTTTCCATGTTGCTAAACTTTGGCCTTCATTATCGATTTCCTCACCAACTTCAATTGTACACTATTGTCATTTTCAATTTTTTTCATTAGACACATCTTCAACAATCAAAGGTTCATCTTTCTTTTATGGTGACCGTTTCTTTAGAAACCGGTGCTTTTTATTGTTGTACATAATTTACACCAAGCTATTCATCTTGTTCATGCATAGGCGATTTCTTCTCTTTATGTGCACTCGGATGAATGCACTCCAATTACGTTTGCATGTTGATGGCCAAGAAGTAAAACCAAGAATTCTTATTGCAAACGCTTTTAGCGCTGGCACATCATCTCCAAAGCTATCCCACCATTGACTATATAGATTAATGAAAAAGAATTGAAGTAGTGAATAGTTTGTTTTACTTAGGCTATAATGAAAAAAAGAGATAAAAGTTCAAGTATTATTTTAGGTGAACGTGATTGGTATGTTGGCAAAGATGAATCCAAACAATCCCACTTGTCTTTGTACATTTCAAGTTGGTTATGGATCTCCAATAACTTGGTCGTTGATGAGTCTCTCCATGCAACAGTACGATCCAAGTTAAGTTGCTAGATGCTTAGTTGGGACTCTATCTGAATCGAGGATTCAAGTAATATGCACTTACATGCAAGTCGTGGTGCAATTGAAGGTCCCACTTTGTACATTAGTCAAATCCCTTTATAGGAAGAAATATCTTCATCTAAGTTCTTTGCTATTTCTCTTTTGCCTCATTCATATCCCCATAAATAAATCCCGTTGCAGGAGTACTCTAACCATCAACTACCCTTAAAACGTGCACAAGGGGCTTTGTGGTTTTTATAGGGTAAACCACACTAGGCCAAAATCCATGCACAATTTGCCCATTCATTTGAAACAAACATCATTTGAGTGGTTGCTTTAACTGATGCATACTTTTATGGTAAAAAAAGGCAGTGGCGAAATGTATGGCAATGGGTGAAAGATCTTTCTTTGCAATCTTTCTTGTTAAACTCAACACCCTTAATGGTTGTGTATGAAATTGATTACATTATTATCTTTAAGCAAAACATGCTTTTGTTGTTGCAATTTCCCACCTTTTTTAAGCCTCAAATCTATACAATGGCATGATGGGGTGTTGTTTTCACTTCTTTTAAGATCCAAGTCTTCATCTCATGCATTGTTGGAGCTTTCAATCCTTGATCACAATTTCCAACATAAGGCAACATATTGAAATATGACGGGCTTGCTACACAATTGAATGCAATCCTGTTCTCAAAGAAAAATCTCCGTATATCCGAAACAAGCTTGATTGTGCCATCTCATATAATGTAATTGACTAGCATGCATAATAATTTGTCACTCAATTTTTTGGGTTCGACTTTAAAGTCCTTCAAATTATGGAATATCATTTAGAAGATGTATATTGGGTTCTAACCTTTCTCATGTCCTAGACTCGTTCATACTTCACAGAAATACAGTGCTCTTAGCTATGATGATAAGATCCTGGATGGATTCTACGATTTGTATGACATTTCGACGCAAGCTTTATCATCAAAAATGCCTTCCCTTGTGGATTTACAAGGAACCCCACTGTCAGATAATATCACCTTGGAAGCAGTTCTTGTCAACAAGGCTACGGATGTTAAGCTGTTACGACTCGAACAAAGTGCACTGGAAATTGCTGTCAAATCAACATCAGAATCTCTGAGCCCTTCAGGCCACAATATGGTGCAGAGACTTGCCGCTTTAGTTTCTAATCACATGGGTGGGCCGGTTGGGGATCCAGACAAGATGTTGCTTGCATGGAGAAATTTCAGCTACAAACTGAAGGCAACTCTTGGTAGCATAGTTTTGCCTCTTGGCTCACTAAAAGTTGGGATGGCATGTCACCGTGCCTTGCTTTTCAAGGTACTCTCTCTCTCTCTCTCTCTCTCTCTCTCTTCTTTCATAATCATATTTCCTCATTGTCGATGTTTCTATTTTCAGTCCCTTCTAAACATCCAGTAACCTCTTAAACAGAATACTCTGAAAGGGTACATTGAATGGTGATGATTCAAAGTGAATGACATTTTTTTTTATCGACTTGACGATGATGGGCAATCTCTTTTTTTTAAACTGCACTTGGTGCTAAATTAAATGCAACTTCTTAACAAGAGATTTCTACCTGTGAATTTATTTTCAAAATTGCTGGCATACTCTTACACGATTAAGAGAGGCAATAATATATACGGGAAAAGGTGACAAGAAGCTAAACCTATGTTCCGAAAAGACAACTATTTTGACACACTGCAAACCTGTTTAAATCAATTTATCCTACCTTAAAAGGCTGTGTAGGTATGTACTATCATGATTCCTAGTCCATCTGCAGTAAATAATAGGTACATCAGACCAAACCATTTGAGCATCTCCAACAGATTCTCTAAAATAGAGAATGGAGGTTGTGTTCTGTATATTGCTCCAACAGATTCTTTATATCGTTCTCTAAAACTTGATGTGAAGAGAGAGAAATGATTTTTTTAATTCATTTCCATCAATGAGATTGAGTTATTATTATTTTATATAAAGTGTTTTGGGATGATAAAATTTGAGAATATTTTAATAATATAATTAATGTTGAAATCTCTAAAATAGAGAATCTGTTGGAGTTGAATGCAATTTTTTTAAAGATTTTAACTTTTGATTCTCTGTTTTAGAGAAATTATAGAGAATCTGTTGGAGATGCTCTTACTCCTCAGTGACTTTCAGTCTTATCTGACTAGACACTGTCTCAGATGGCCATAAACATACACAAACTGGTATCACAAATGTGAATAACCATCTTTGTGTGTAAATATGATGAACATATATCTTCTTTAGTGTGCTTTCTTGTACGAAGAGTACCACCCCTTCATGATATACAATGATCTTGTACATGCTTTTCTTTACAGTCTATTAGAATTTAGAACGTGGCTTACTCTTTTCAACTCTCTCCTCGTAGGTTTTGGCAGATAGTGTCGGTATCCCTTGCCGCTTGGTGAAAGGGAAGCAATATACCGGCTCTAGTGACGTTGCAATGAACTTCATAAACATTGGTGATGGAAGGTTATGCCCTACCCGCAACTTAATGCTAGTAGTCGACTTATTATCTTCTTGATGATAAATTATGATTAACTAAAGCAATTAATTATGTGAATGCCAGGGAATACATTGTTGATTTAATGGCAGACCCTGGAACACTTATCCCATCTGACACAGCAGGAGGATTCCACGTTGATCGTGAGGAATCTTCTTTTTCATCAAGTCCATGGTCCAGAGATGACGATTCCTCTCGTTTAACTTCAAGAGGCGGTCTTACTAGTTCATCTGATGAATGCTCTGTGTTTGGGATGCAAGAGAAGACGGCCTGGTTTAGCAACCTGGATTCCACCGGAGACAGATCTGATGATGGAACTATTCAACATACACGGTCATCAGGTTTGACACAACAGACCAAACCTGAGCAAGTACCCAAGAAATGTTTACCCTTAGTTCCGTACAAAATACAGAGGGAGAACAAAGTTGGTGAAATTCCTTTGAGGGCTTCTCATCACAGCCATGCAAGATCTCCTTCCTGGACAGAAGGTGTCAGCTCCCCTGCAGCACGCAAAATGAAGGTAAAAGATGTTTCACAATACATGATTGATGCTGCAAAAGAAAATCCTCAGCTAGCCCAGAAACTGCACGATGTATTACTTGAGAGTGGTGTTGTTGCTCCTCCAAACCTGTTTACTGAAGTTTACGATGAACAAGAGGATATGCCCCTTAGTCAAGACAAAGAAGAAAACAGTAAGTGGGATAGGAAAAGGACTACTGAGGGTCAAGGTCATTTAGATCATCCTCGCTTCTTACCTATTTTACCTTCCCATGATGCACACGCTAAAACAAAAGCCTCCAGGCAACTGGAGCATGCTTCGTCACAATGTGAGGTCAATCCAGTGCTATATGCCACAAAAGTTCCAGCTGCTGCTGCTGCAGCGGCAGCAGCTGCTGTTGTTGCATCTACAATGGTGGTTGCTGCTACAAGAACTACAACTGATCCAAACATAGAACTACCTGTAGCAGCTGCAGCCACAGTGACAGCTGCAGCAGTGGTGGCGACAGCAACCGCTGGTGTTGACAAGAAGTATGAGCCCTCTGGTTTTACACCAGCTGGTTTGCCTGATTCCGGTAATCTAATGGACTGTCCGAGAAAAGATCGTGATGAAGAATTTGGTAATTTACAAGCCAGGGGCATTAGTGAGAATGATTTGTCACGAGTATGTTTGTTAGGGGAGAGAGTATCCGATAGGTCTACAGGCAACGATAGCACAAAATCTGAAGTCTCCCTTGAAGATGTTGCAGACTGTGAGATAGCATGGGAGGATATCACCTTGGGTGAGCGTATTGGATTGGGTACTGAACTATCTGGTTGACTTTCAGATGTTCCTTATCCAAATTGTAATTATTATTATTTATTAATAATCCAATTAATAATTGTCTCTTTGTTGCAGGATCATATGGAGAGGTTTATCGTGGTGATTGGCATGGAACTGTAAGTCAACTTTCATAATGGGTACAGAATATGCTTAAATTTCACTACTTTTGTTCAATACATCTCTTTAACTGAATATCTCTTTATTGGCTTGTGTCACATACTTTTTCTTGGAGTCCAATTGTTCATGACAGTCATTATATCATGTCTAGGAAGTCAACCAGAAGGGCTATACCTTATAGTTTAGAAAGTGGGTTTGGGATATGAGATGGTGTCACAAAAATCTGGAGATTAACTAATAATTTATGAGAAACTAAAAATATTCTCTCTTTGCAGAGATAGAAAAAAAGAAACAGAAAAACAATTTTTAGATAGAAAATCCTTGAAGAGAAAAACAATTTTTTTGGGGGAGGGGATTTGAAAGTACCACCGTAACACTTCAGGGTATATGGTTTATGTTACTTATTGTTGGTAGTCTTTCTTAGGGTTTGTTTAGGATTTTGTATTATAGCTTACCCAAGGTTTTAAAGTACGGAAACCTGAGGCGAGGCGTAAGCCTCGGGGCGGTTTGAGGCTTAAGCTCCGAGGCGGAAAACGAATAAAAGTCATAACCATATGATTGTAAAACTTACCCATGTTGTGCGGTATGTATATCCATTTCGGTTAATAATATAGTTTCACCTTTTAAGGTCATATGATACTATCCCTAAAGCTGCCGAAAAAATTGCCACCATAGTCCCACATTCCACCCCATCTTTTTCCTAAACAAGGTACAACAGAATAGCTAATAGAATAAAAACTGATCCAAGTATAGTATAAAGGAAAAACTGATATGCTGCCTTGTTGGAGTGTCTGATCATGCATTTGCTTGTCTAATCTCTCATTTCTTGTTTTTTTGTCACTTCAGCTTAAGGTTACTTTTACACCTTACTTTTACTATCCATATAGAACAAGGTTGACCACCAAATTGAGACTTCTTTAGTCTAGCAGGGACTCCCAGTCACTTTCATTGGAATGACCAGAGATTGTCTTTAGTTGGTTGGAGTTGTGTGGGTCATCACAACTGCCTCTGTAGTCATCACTACCCCACCATTTGTCGCCACTTGTCTTGGCGTGTGCCAACTACGATCATTGTGTTGTTGCTCCGTAGTTGCCACCTAGGATTTAGTGTTTTGGTAGTATCATTTAGAGTTTCATACATTCTTGGCTGATCTACGAAGCCTTGGTTTGATTTTTTGAGTTCATTTGGCAAGTGAGTTGGCTGTTTGAGTGGTTGTTTTGGGTTACTGAATTTGCATGAACTAGTTTAGTGTTTCTGATTCCTTCATGGTTGTTTGTTGTTCAAGGAGTTGAATTTTTTACTTTTTCACTGCTTGATCAGTTGGTTGCTTGACCAATTGGTTTGATTGGTCTTTCAGGTCTGATTGATGCTTTGTCGATCATGGGTTCTTGTTCTCTCCTTGTTTTTTATGGATATTAAGGAAACACAAAGAAAAGAACCACGGTTTGGGATATTTTCTAGTTTGAACCTTGTCTATCAACTGATCTATTATTTGTCTTATGGAGTTTGATAAGTTTGATAGAAGTTTTGGCCATTGAGATTGATATTTACTTTTAGTTTGTCTTGTGTTGAATGCTTTTCTTTTATGGTTTTTGTACGATCACTTGTGACAAATTGGCAATTGCAAGAGATGAGGAGGTTGCTTTGTTTGAGATTCTGGCTAAAAATAGGGTGACATTTCAGGATGCTTGATGTTCAATTATCTAGATGCATACTATCTTTTCTTATTACTGTTTTCAGAATTAAACTTAGTGAGGAGGATGTCAATTAAGTCCACACTTTCCATTATCCAGAACTCAAGCCTACATATCATTCTTTTGGTGCATCTTTAGGAAATTACTTTGCTTGTTTATGAGGATCTGCTTACATCTTTGTTTATTGATTCGAATGCCTTGTATCACTGTATACATCATTAGGCCATGAATTTTATGGCATCTCCTGCCTATTGGAGGTATATGATCTTCAAATTTTAAGTTTGTTTTAGTATCTCTGCTGCCTTATGCATGCTCACCTTCTTGGATAACCTTTTGCTTAGTAGGGAAATTATTAATGGTATGAATGATTATGTTGCCTTCTTTTAGACACATTTTGAATTCAAGAACTCGGGACTTTATGGACGATTGGAATAGGTTGTTAAGCATCATATATCTTCCAAATATTCTATCCTCCGCTACATGTGCCAGAGAACAATATTCAAGATATCCACTATTGACCAAGTCATCCCTACTCTGGGGTGTATAAAGATACTACAAGGACATCATTCTAATTCCAACTAATGTAGTGAGTTGTATAAAATAAGTATGGATATTCATGATGCTTATTGGAGCAAGGCTACACATAAATCCATATGTTGTACTTTTTTCTTTCTGATGTTTGGGTCTGGTGAAGGTTTTAGATGTCAACCATTGCAATTTGTTATATAGACTTTGGAAATAAATATGCGATCTATGTCAAAACCTTTTTGTGGTGATGGTTGGAAAGAGCATTTTTCTCAATATGTATTTGTCCCTATGTAGACATGCCTGTATGGTATACCGATATCTACATACTATATATACACGTTAAACTTAATAGAAGAGATAAAAGAGAATTGGAGAACAAAATTATACAGATTAAACATTAAAAATAAAAACAAAACTATGAAAAGAGAAAAAGGTTTTCGATTATGAGAGTGGAATAAAAAAGAAACAAATATTTTTATTAATAAATGAACTGAGAACGTATGGTAGAGGCTTTTTGTTTGCCAATGGATCATCTGAATTGCTCATCAAGCCTCTAATTCAGCCAGAACCAAAGGCGAAGGCATCCCATTTAGTGGCTCAATATTCCACATCTGTCCCCGTTGCTCTCTAGCTGCTACTGCTCTTCCCTGCTGCTTCACCTTCGACTTCACCCTGCTGCTTGCCTTCGACCTCTCCCTGCTGCTTTGCCTCCATCGTACTGTTTTTCCTTCACGCATTCTTGCAGGGTGGATTATGGTTTGGAGTAGATGAGCTAGAGGGAAGAGATGGGATTTTAGGATTAGGCTTTTAATTGTTTGAGTTTAAATTTTTCTTATTTAAATAATCTAATATTTAACTTGTATCTAAATAGAAACAAAAATTGTATCTAATCAGACAAATGATTATATTATGTTTAATATAAATTAAATTTATATTTAATCAAACGAAACAAAATTGAAATACCTATAAATCAGGACCAAATGATTATTAATGTATAAATAGGTAAATGTATTAAACCATCCATTGAAAGGGTAAAATGGTATTTTTGTAAATTATATAATGGGTAAAATGCTGTTTTTCGGGTATTCAATTGTTCATTCAGAGCATTTGTCAAGCAACCATTTTTCATTGTGCATTAAATCTTAGAGAGCCTCTTAATCATTATTCACCAAATCATTCAGGATATGTCAAAAAGCCCCTTAAGGTTTCTCTTATGTATAGTTCATTAGGTGGTATGTGGAAGCATTAAGACCCATTCAGATGAAAAACCAAACAGTCTTATTTACCAAATAAGTGGTGAAATTGTTCAGTGATGACTCCGTATGGAACAAACAACCATTTGCTGACACTCATCTTGAATATGGAGAGCCCTCTATTTTCCCTCATGTATCTTATCGCAAACTCCGGTTGCCTAACGAAGAGTCGTATGACTTGTGTGACCCAATCAAGATTTGAGACCTTGCTATTTTTACCATGTATCTTTTCCCTTATCAACTCATAATTTTGCTTTTATACATTTTATGGATAGTTGTGTTCTGAGAAATGCGTGAGCTTGCTCGTCAAGGACAGTGCAAGGCAATGGAGGAGGAAATTTTCGTTCTTAAGCAGAATAGGACATTGGATTTTGTTGTAATTCCTCATTAGAATATTTCAGGGTCTAAGTGGGTATACATTTTGAACTCGAAGATTGTTCCTTGATCGTCTCAATGCCAAGGGATGCACTTGGCCTAGTAGTGAAGACAAGGAGGAGTCCTTGGCCCCGAAACCATGATAACTTATGTGTGTATTGTTCTTACTCAAGATGGGACTTATCAACTTGAAATCTAAAACACGTTTCTTGGGTAAGTCGATCCACGAGTTCAAAACATGCTTCATAGGCTTAGGTCTCCTGATTGTCTTAGGTACTTGAAAGTCCGAAAATCCATAGTGCTTATGATCATACAATTCTCTTCTCAAATGGATATGGTAGACTAATCATTTTGGTATTTTATGTGCAGCTTCTTCTAGAAATTCCTTGGTCAACCTGCTGGTTTAAATATGATAGCTATTAGCAGCTTCTGTAAATCATCAGGAAGAAATTTTTAAGTCTCTGGCAGGGTGCAATTATAACTTTCTGTCATATCAACTAGTTGGAATCTCAATGAACATGTACTGTGTGCCCACTTATCTCACTGGTCCATGATTACTCTTAGATGGCCCATCGAACCGGTGTGAGAAGGGACTATAACAAATTACAAAAAATCTGTGGAAGGCTTTTTAATATTGGCATTATATTTGTATGACAATCTCTCATAGCTTTTGTGTATGCATGTCCTCAATCTTGAAGATATATATTTATCTTCATTCCAATTCTAATTTTCAGGAAGTTGCTGTTAAGAAGTTCTTAGACCAAGAAATAACTGTTGAATCCCTTGAGGAATTCAAAAGTGAGGTATAATCTGCTCTTTTCTGACAGTTGCACTAATTGATGGCATTCTGCTTGCATCTTATTAACATAATTTGATAATTTATAGCAACATGAAAGTATATTCAAACCCTCATATTAAACTTAAAATATATATGAAATGAGTGAATTGAACTCTGTTATTTAAGCATTATGCCTCTTTCTTGTTTAGGACGGTGGCAATTCCTATGTTAATTTATGTTGCTTTATATTTCTGTCCTTACTATTTCTTCTTTGGCTTGAAGGTTGGTATCATGAAAAGAGTTCGGCATCCCAATGTGGTGCTCTTCATGGGAGCTGTAACGCGTGCTCCACATCTTTCAATTGTTACTGAATTTCTGCCTAGGTATGTGACATAACACATACATATATTTTCAACTTAGCTATGTACCATTGATGATTTGGGGTATATAAGTATGTAGTAGAAGTCTAATACTCCAGTATTACCGCATGGTGTTAGGGAATCCCGTTTTTCCTCTTTGTTTCAGTTATAGTAAGTAATAGAGAAAGCATGGAAAGAAAATAATGAAGACAAACTTTCACCAAGAAAAACCATTCAATATGAAGTTAAAAACCACATCTTAGTTTAACAAATTTCCATCACATAATAGTAGGGTTACTGTCGAAATGTACATATTATAGATTAGGGGGAATCCCTATAATTATGGAATATAATTTCTATAATTATGGGATATTTTTACCTTCTTTATCGTTATCTTTTCTGTATCTTTTCCTTTATTTTCTTGATTTAGTTTCCCTTTATCTCTTGTAAATACCCTATATACAGGGCGTTGTATAATCAAAGGAAAGAGAGCTTATTCAATTCATCTTTCTTGTCATGGTATCAGAGCTTTAGGTTTCTCTCAGAAATCTAAAACCCTTGTTCTATTTTATTTCAGCCTTAATTGCTCTTCCCAGTGTGCAACCTTCATCATTGCAAGTGTTTTCAATTGAAAAGCCTTAATTGTTGTATTTCCTTTGATTGAACGACCTTCTGTTTATTCTCTTTTGTAATTCCCTTTCCTTCATCATGACAAAACCCACAAATAATGACACCAACATTGTTAAATCTTCCAATGAGTCCAATTCTGTCCAAAAAATTGGAGATCTTCAGAATATTCGGCACCCTATAGACTCAATGACAAAAACTATCTCAAGTGGTCTCAATTTGTTCAAACATACCTGAAGGGCAAAGGGAGACTCAAACACCTCATTGAAGCAGGTCCTGCTATAGATGATCCAGCATTTGGAACATGGAAAGAGGAAGATTCCATGACAATGTCATGGCTATGGGAATCTATGGACCCAATGATCAGTGACACATGCATGTTTCTCTCCACTGCAAAAGAGATATGGGAGTTTGTTCGTGGCACTTATTCGAAGGCTTTTGATGCGGCTCAAGTATACCAGATCAAGATTAAAACCTCAGCCGCAAAGCAAGTAAACAAATCTGTCATTGAATATGCAAATATATTGCAAAATCTGTTGCAGGAACTTGGATCATTATTGAGTTTTCAAGATGAAGTGACCTACAAATGCAACTATCTTAAAAAGTTTCATTGAAGAAGACCGAGTCTATGATTTTTTGGCTGGTTTAAATCCTGAATTTGATCAAGTCAGGATTAAATTACTTGGCAAAGAAGACACGCCATCACTTGAAGAAGTGATCCCTTTGATCAGAATAGAAGAAAGCAGGAGGAATGTCATGCTTGAACCACAAGCTATGGACGGATCATCCCTAGCAACAAGAACCAATCAAAAAGAGGAGAGGAGAGATCTGTCCTAGTTCGGGGGTAAAGAAACTCGGGAGAATAGAGAGTCTTTGGTGCACTTACTTCAATAAACCATGACACTCATAAGAACAATGCTGGAAATTAAATGGGAAACCACCCAGCAGAGAATGGGGAAATTGTGGTGGACAACAGAGTCGTGAATGGGGAACCCATGGGGGGCAACAAAAGCCTTAATGGAGGCTGCAGAGATCTCAAACATAAATTGTTGAGCATTCCAAACTGGAGGAGAATTCAGCAAGAGAAGAGTTCAGCAACGAAGAAATTGAGAGGTTAAAGAATTTTTTGGGTTCTCTCGAAAAAGTCATCAGGAACTTGCTCTTTAACTCTTTCATGTTTTCTTTTTGTCTAATGCCTTTTGTAATCTTGTCAACTCATGGATAATAGATTCTGGTGCCACTGATCATATGACACCTTTCAATTTTTTTCATAATTACACTCCATGCCCTAGCAACTGAAAGATTACAGTAGCCAATGGCTCATTAGCAACTATTGCAGGCTTTGGAGATATACATATCACACCCAACCTTGTCTCAAAAAATGTGTTACATGTACCAAACTGTCGGCCAACCTTCTTTCAGTCCAAAAAATCACCCATGATCTTAAATGTTATGCTATTTTTTTCTTCTTCATATTGTGTTTTTGAGGAACAAGACTCGAGGTAGAGGATTGGACTTGCTAAGGAAATGGAATGACCTTTATCATCTTGAATCTTCCCTGAAAAGCAACATTCCACCTTCATCACCTGTGTCTAGGTCACCCATCCTTTAGAGTTTTAAATGTCATGTTCCCTCATCTATTTCAAGGATTAGATATTTTTGAGTTTCATTGTGATATTTGCGAATTGGCCAAACATACTCGTGTTTCTTTTTCTATAAGTAATAAAAGGAGCTCTCTTCCATTCCAGTTAATTCATAGTGACATATGGGGACCTTCTAACATACCTAATGTGTTTGGGGCTCATTGGTTTGTATCCATAATTGATGATTGCACTCGGGTTACATGGCTCTTCCTCCTTAAACACAAATATGAAGTTAGCATTGTTATACCTAACTTCCACTCAATGATTCAAAACCAGTTTGGGGTCAAAAGAGTTTTAGGACCGACAATGCTAAGGACTATTTCAACCAGATTTTATCACTCTACTTTCAATCACAAGGCATTATCCATGATTCTTCATTTGTTAAGACACCCCAACAAAATGGGGTAGCTGAAAGGAAAAATGGTCATTTACTTAAAGCCTTCATCGTCTTCGTGTTTCCAAACCAATCTTCATAGGGAAGATGCTTTTCTTTGCCATTGTGTAGATTTGGACATCCTAGTTTTATGTACTCAAAGAAATTGTTTCCCAGTTTGATTAATAAAATTCAGTTCCATTTTAATGTGAAGCTTGTCAACTATCAAAACACACTCGTATCTCTTTTCCACCCCAACCATACAAAGCATCACACCTATTCTATTTAATTCATAGTGATGTTTGGGGACCATCTAGGATAAAGAATTCACCTGGAACTAGATGGTTTGCCACGTTCATTGATGATCACACCCGTGTCACTTGGATATTTCTCATGAAAGACAAATCTGAAGTTAGAAATATATTCCAAGTATTCCATAAGATGATAGAAACCTAGTTTCGCACAAAAATCCAAGTCTTTCAAACAGACAATGGAACTGAATTCTTAGAGTCAAACCTAGGATCCTATCTCAAAGAAAATGGGAATCATTCACCTCAGCTCATGGATTGGCACTCCACAACAAAATGGAGTTGCCGAGAGGAAAAACAGACGTATCCTAGAAGTTGCCCGCTCGCTTATCTTTATTCCAAATGTCCCGCCTATATTATGGGGAGATGCCATATTATCATCGGCATATCTAATACCGCATGCCATCTAGAGTACTAAACTATCACGCACTATTAAACTTGATATTGATTTGTATTGATTGAAAAATAATAATAATCTGATACACCTTATATAGGTAAAACTAATTACACTTTGGACCCTAGACAATATTAATAATATAAACTAGACTAGTTGACTTAGTCTAACATTCCCCCGCAAGTTCAGCGCGGTTAGCAATCTGCAACTTGGACC